GGGCACAGGGCTGACACACCCGGGGGGCTGTGCCAGGAGCACATCGAGGCCGGCCGGCCCAGCCTCTACCCATCAGTCATCAGCAACACCTCCAAGGAGATGTCAGCATTCTCTGACTTCCCCTACCCCGAGGACTTCCCGGTGTTCCTGCCCAATGCCCGGCTCCTGGACTACCTCCGGCGCTACGCTGAGCACTTCGGCCTCCGAGAGCACATCAAATTCGGGGTGAGTGATGGGTGCCCCAGCACTGCCCCACTCCCCACGCACTTGGGTGCCAGTGGTGACTTTGCTTCACTTCCATGTCTCAGACCACCGTTGTCAGCATCCGGAAACACCCCGACTTTGCCACCACGGGCCAGTGGAACGTGGTCACGGAGGCAGATGGGAAGCAGGCATCGCATGTCTTTGATGCTGTTATGGTTTGCAGTGGCAATTTCTCCGAGCCATCCCTCCCCCTGCACTGTTTTCCTGGTACAGTATAGGGCTGCCTGCAGTTACCTGCTTCCAGGGGCTGGGGGGAGATTTAGAGATTCCTCAGGGAAAATGCTTTCTTCCTTTACTTGATCCCGCTTTCCAAACCTCCTGGCACAAACAGCAATACGTCCTCATGCGTCAGCAGCTTTGTCTGTGAGGCCCCATTTTGGAGAGGAAGCACCAATTCTGTGTGCGTGGGATGGAGGGCTGGACCCCCCCGAGTCCCGGGTGGCCAGTGCTTGCACTCCCTTACCCTTGCCATCTGGATTAGTTTCTACGCCGGTTCTCCCAGCAGAACCCACAAATGCTCAAACACTTAAGAGCTTCGTTTCTTTCTCCCCGAGGCATCGAGAAGTTTCAAGGCCAGTACTTCCACAGCCGCCAGTACAAGCACCCCGACGTGTTCCAGGGGAAGCGTGTCCTCGTGGTTGGCATGGGCAATTCCGGAGTGGACATTGCCGTGGAGGCCAGCCGTGTAGCTGCCAAGGTGCCACCACCCAGCCACCCCAGGAGTGCTGGGGGCAGTAGCTCAGTTTACTGTCCCCGCAGAGACGTGGTGTGCAAATTGATCAGCCAAGTCATTGTTTCCCTGCTCTCTCCCAGGTGACCATTTGCACCCGTCAGGGTGCCTGGCTGCTCAGCCGTGTGTATGACCACGGCTACCCGTGGGATATGGTTTTCAACACTCGCCTCATGAGCCTGATCAGGAACAACCTCCCTGGGCCCCTTTCCTGGCGATTGGTTAATTACAAGATGAACCAGAGGCTCAACCATGAAAACTATGGCCTTCAGCCAGAGAAGAGGTACTTGTTGGTTGTCCGCACATGCAGATGGGCTGATGGTGTGGGTGGGGGAAGATCTCCAGCAACCAACATCAACCAGTGCCCAGACTGTGGTGATCTCCAACCCAGCTGGAGAAGATAAGCTGTGCCCCCTTAGGTGGTGAGAGATTGAGCATGCTGGAAAAGCCCAGGAAGGACCAGAGGAGTTTTCCTCATGAGGTTCCCTGCTGAAAGAGGAGAAGAAAGGCTTAAAGCGTGGATCAGCTCTGAAAAGAGATGGCTTAAAGAGTAATTGAGTGGAGAAAGAAGGCAGGAGCTGTCCATGACTCACTTGCTATGGGACACGGTGACACTGGTGCAAGGCTTGAACACATCAGTGTTTGGAGAGGGGGAGGCAGGGTTGTTTGCTTAAAGCAAATGACACTGGGAGGTGTTGGACACCTTGGGCTGGTGGGCCCAAGGGAAGGAGGAGCAAGGGCAGTGGCAGGGCCTGTTCATGGTGTCCCGTTCTCAGAGCCCCTCTCCTCTCCACAGCTGCCTGGTGCGAGAGCCTGTGCTCAACGACGACCTTCCGAGCTACATCCTGACGGGAAGGATCACCATCAAGCCGGGCGTGAAGGAGTTCAAGGCCAACTCTGTTGTTTTCCACAACTGCCCTGAAGAGGAGCCCGTTGATACTGTTGTCTTCTGCACAGGCTACGACGTCTCCTTCCCGTTCCTGGAAGAGTCAGTGGTCAAGGTGGAAAACAAGCACGCGTCCCTCTACAAATACGTGTTCCCAGTGCACCTGCAGAAGCACAGCCTGGCTGTCATTGGGCTGGTAAGGCCCATGGGAGCCATCATGCCCGTGATAGAGATGCAAGCGCGCTGGGTGACCCGTGTCTTCAAAGGTAGGAGAGCTGACGGGAGCTTTCCTGGGTGCCAGAGTACAGTGCAGGTTGGACATGTCCCTCTGCCAAGAGGGATTTCTGTCCTTGGAGATCTCAGAGCTAAGAAGCTCATTTCAGAGTGGATAGGGCAGCATCTTCAGGGCTCAGACTTGCCAAGTTACTTCACTTCTGCTAAGCTGCAGCAACATGAGTGAGGAAAGAAACCCACTGGGGGGTTGTTTGTTTTTATTAATAAAAATAATAATAACAACGTCCCAATGGGCTCATGGGGAGGGCTATACCAAGGCTTCTCCACAGAGCCAGGGGAAGCTCTGTGTTTTCTCTTTGGGATGATCCTCTCTGGGACTTGCACACCCTATCTCACCCCTTGTCGTGTGCCTGTCAGCACCTCCCTGACAGCACAAATCTGTAAGAGCAGGAAAAAGTGAGGGTGAATTTGCACCACTGTGGAGGACTGGTCTCTGGCAGAATTGCCAATGCCAACCTAAATCTGAATGTTTTGCATCAGTGAATGAGTTCACAAGTCTCCCCAGGAGTTAAACTCTGGAGGAACATTCTCCTCTCTCTTCCAGGCTTGTGTCGGTTGCCTCCTCAGTCTGTCATGGAGAAGGAAGTAAATGAGAAGAAGAAAAACCAAGTGAAATGGTAAGTCATCCCCCAGAGCCCCAAAAGGGTTTTTTTGTGGATTGAAAAATCCCTGGAGTTTTGGGGGCAGCAACACACAGGTTCAGAGCCTGCAGCTGCTCCCTGTGTGTATGGCAGAGGCGAGGGGGGGTGCCCAGACCCAGCCTCCCCTTTGCTCACTTGAGCCAATGTAACCTTTGATTTAATGCTGGTATTTTGCCTGTTGGTGCCAGGGTCCCCAGGGACTGAGAGATAAAATGGCAGAGAAATTAATGGTAACAGATGCAAAGTAATTCAAGTGGGAAGGGGTGAAAAAATCCAACCCGAGGTGTCCATACAAATTGTCTCATCTCTCAGCATGGAGACCTGGCTCACTGTGAACAGGTATCTAAACACAGCAGTGTGTGGTGCCCAGGCAGGTAAAAGGATAAAAAATATCAGGGTATGAATGAGATAAACCCATGAAAGTGGGCAATGTATTAACCCATAGTTCACCTCTATCATTGTAGGAGAAAAGGAGTAGAAAAGTGAAATGTAGAATGACCCAGAACAATTGCTCTACGACACAAGGTTAAACTCACGTGGCCTTTTTTCAGCCCACCAAAGGAGGGACATAAAACTCTGAATTGTGCTGAGAAGCACATGTATTCTTGTAATACTTGATGGAAATGAACGTGAGGGAAATTAAAGGGCGTTGCCTTTCTCATGCTGCACATGACTTCCCTGCAGAGAGCAAAGGGAAAACCAGATTCCAAAAAAAACCCCAGAACTGGTTGGACAAAGTCTTTTAACAGAGATCCACCAAGATGAAGGGGGGGTGCAGGTGAAACTTAGGGCTAATGAAGTGAAAGACTGATTGATTGGCATGAGCCAGCACCCCTTTACATGTGCTGTGTAAGGGACAGGATTTGGGTCCAGACAGGCCGAAGTTCTCACTCCATGTACACCTAGTCCTTCTCTAAAAAGAACCTGCTTGCATTTGAATGCCGTAACAACAGGGTTGCAGAGAACTTGCACTCCAGTTCCTCTCAGCCCTGTTGTCACCAGTCTTTCTCCTGCCTCTCTTTCCTCTCTGATTCATTAAGGTTTGGTCTGTCCTTTGACGAAGTCCTCAAAACCGATTGTCTGGTCTACATGGACACGCTCGCCTCCTTCATCGGTGCCAAGCCCAGCGTGCTGGGGCTGCTCTGCAGAGACCCCTGGCTGGCCCTCACCATTTTCTTTGGCCCCTGCTCCCCCTACCAGTACCGGCTAGGGGGTCCTGGGCACTGGGAGGGGGCACGCCAGGCCATCCTCACCCAGTGGGACCGGATTCTGAAGCCCACAAGAACACGAGTCCCTGCTGGCTCCTCTGGCTCTTTCCCCTCTCTCCTGATTTTGGTGGGGTTCCTCCTACTCCTGGCTGCTGTCATCTTCGCCTTTTAGAGCCTGTTAATTTTTTGTTCTTGTCACAGGCGTTGTTGTCTCTGGTCAGACATCTCCACAGTGTGCCGTGGGACGGGGGGAAAAGGATTTCAGCAGATGGAACAAATTTTATGCTGCAGCTTAAGGCACAAACCTTTCTCTGCCCCAGCTCACCCCCTAAAGCACAGCTTTGCAGACTGCTGCTGGAAATGGCAGCCTTCCCCCAGTGTCTGTTGCCCTCCTGCTCTTCTGCCCACTGCTGGGAGCAGAGCATGGCTTTATGGCATAACTGGGTATGGATCACAGCAGGATGCAGCAAGGACAAGACTAGCCCTGCACCAACATGCCTGAAAAACCAGGGTTTTTAGTCCAGCAAGGGGTTATCTGGGCTGGGTACACAGGTCAGGCTGTCTCTTCTCCCAAACTTAAAACCTGTCACCCAAAAATCCCAGATTGGGTTGAATTGGTGCGTGTTTCCAATGAAGGGGCCCTGGTTGTGGTTTGTCACCGCTGAAACTGGGACTGAGCACTCCTGGCTTTGTTTTCCTTCGTTCCCCACCACTGGATAATCCTAGGGCTTTTTTTGTGTGTGTGGAGACTTTAAATGAATAAAATTTAATCAGCTGTGTCAGGAGCCTGCTGCAGGTGCCTCCCTGTGGTCTCCTTGAGTGCAGGGAAAGAGCTGGGAGGGTCTGTGCCTGATTTGGGGCTGTGCCACGGGCAGCTCACAAGGCTGGGGCTGGGAGGGCTATCACTGACCCCCCAAAATTAGTCTGCACTGTGCTCCATTCCCCCCATCCGTGCTGTCAGCTGGCAAAGGGAGTGAGTTTTGCTGATTTCCTGGGCGTGCCAAGTGAACGCCTGCCAGGCACAGGCATTGCAGAAGGGGATGGATCAGGACAACCCCAGGCTGCTGCCGGGACTGGGCCAGTGGCCAGCGGCAGTGTGGGAGTCCTTGCAAGCACGTTCCCTTTGGGACTGTAGTCTGGATTTCCACCCAGCACCGCCGCGGGGATGCGGAGACCTTTCTTCCACTGCTTTTAAGCACACGGGGTGGGGCAGTGCAGGTGTAAAGGTCAGTGGTGCAAGAGCCGTGGCGACCTGCCTGGACTTCAGCCTTCCCTTCAAATCCGCGGCAGGAGAAACTTGAAGCAAAGTTCGGCCGAAGCCTGGGCAGCGAAGGCGCGGCACTGTCCTGCAAGGTTTGCTCCTCGCTTCTCTCCACAGGGGTTTTGCAAGGCTTCCAAAGGGGGCACACGGCTCTCCAGGGGTTTGGCATTTGCCACCGGCTTTGCCTCCCTGCTGGCGGGGGGAGAGGGGTGTTGCAGGGACCCTCTGGAGTAAAACTGTCTGTGTCCAGCACTGGAAAAGAAGGCTGATTTTAGCGTGTCTCTACCCTTTTCCAAAACCAAAGGAGGCTCCAGAAACAGGGGACGGGCAGCTGTTGGCGTGTCCTGCCCTGTTCGTGCAAATCAGGGAGTGGCTCAATCTGGGCTTTTGGATCCTGATGGGGTTTTTTTGCACCTCCTTCATTTTTTCCCTGTCTTTCTGCAGTTTCCTCCAGTTCCTGTTTATGCTAACTTACTTTCTGGCGCAAAACTGTTAGAAAAGGGCTATAAATTACCCTTTCTGCAGATTCTGTAGTGGGAGTGTTTATTATCTAATCAAAGTTCACGTGGGTTCATTTTCCCCAGTTTCTTTGCTTTCCAGTCATACTCGGTGCAGCTCGTTTACACACCCCGGGGGCCCTGAGTTCCTCGCCTTTATACCTCGCGTTTCCCGGGTTTTTTACCTTTTGTGTGCTCTGTAATCCCAGCCGCGCTTTCACGGTGCTGTCTAACTTGTGAATGGCTCCAGCTCATTCAAGCATCGCTTTTTTTCCCCCTCTTTTTCTTAAACCCTTTTTGTTTTCAAGAGATTGCTCTTTAACGGGAAAAGAAAAAGGAAAGCGTGAAAATGAGCCATCTTAGCTGAAACTGTTTCTTGCAAAGATTTCGGGAGGATCACTTTGTGCGGGCAGAAGCTGCGAGCCCCTTCCCCTCCTTTGCTCGCACTGGTGTGGGGCTTGGAAATGGAATAAAATGAAGCAGCAGCACAGCGAGGTTTAAAAGTGTCTTTTTCCCCGCATGGAGGAGGAGAATTGTTGGACCCTCTGTGTGGGCTTAGCACGGCAGGAAGGGTAACGAGCAGCATCTGTCCATAGTGCTTGAGTCCAGAGCTGGCCACGGCTTTCTCCAGGAACAGTTTTCCTTGGGGACACCTGCGGCCAGGGAAGTCCAGGGGTCTTTTTCTAGGGACGGGAGGGAGGGATTGGTGTTTCTCCTGATTCCTGGGCTGTTTGGTTTGTAGCTGCTCGCCCACGGCCCTGTTCCCGGCCGCAGGACAGCGATGGTGCGGCGTGTGGCCGTCATCGGCGCCGGGGCCGCTGGCTTGGCCTCTGTCAAGTGCTGCCTGGAGGAGGGGCTGGAGCCCACCTGCTTCGAGAGGAGCGAGGACATCGGAGGGGTCTGGCGGTACACGGTCAGTGAGCTCTGCCTGCGTGGGGAGGGTTGTCCCCGGGTTAGTCCCCTCCCTCGGATACGCTTTACCTGCAGCAAAGAGAAAAGCGTGGCCATGCCCTCCGGGACTGTCCCCGTCCCGGGCACAGGTCTGCCCCTGACTCCAAGCTGGAGAAGGAAACGGAGGGAGCAGAAATCATGGTCACCAGGTGCTTGTCCTGGTTAATTTTTTATAATCAAATACAAGGAGGACAAAAACATTCAAATGCTCTGGGGAGAGAAAGTCTTTCTCTGCACACCTTCAAACAGCACCACTGGCTTCACACAGGACTCCACGGATGGTACGAGAGTCAGCGTGTACCGCTCTGTCATTACCAACACCTCTAAGGAGATGTCCTGCTTCAGTGACTTCCCCTTCCCGGAGGATTTTCCCAATTACCTACCCCACAGCCTCCTGCTGGAGTACTTTCGGATGTACGCTCGTCACTTTGACCTCCTGAGGCACATACGCTTCAAGGTGAGCAGGGACCCCAAACACCACGGGCAGAAGACCCACCAGTAGCTGCAGATACCAGGGTATCACCCAGGTGCGACAGGACAATGCCAGGTGCCATCCCACGAGGACTACGTGCCCTCTGCATCCTGAATGCAGCCTTTAGCTTTGTGTTTTAAAGGCTGCTTAAACATGGGCTGCATCTGTCCCCTCAATGCCATCAAAAGGTGCAGGGTGGGATTTGACAGTGTCGGGGGTGACATGCAGCTCCTTTGGGACCCAGCCTGCCCCCAGCAGCCCCAGCCCTTCACAGGCATATCTCCAAAGCACAGTGTGGTCTCTGACTGCTGTTTTGTTGGGCTTTGGTGCAAGACAACAGTTCTCAGCGTGAGAAAGCGCCCAGACTTTGCCACCTCTGGCCAGTGGGAGGTGGTCACGGAGACCGACGGTGTCCGTGAGTCCCACGTCTTCGATGCCGTCATGGTTTGCACCGGCCATTACCAGGGGCCTTACTTACCACTGGATTCTTTCCCAGGTAAGCCCTGGCCCAGCAGTGTGGGGGTGTGGGGGGGCTGCAGCTGCCCCCCGAGGTTTTGCCCAGCACCCATGGGTTCCTAGGCTGCATTTTCCTCTTAAAGCCTGTCTGCTCCACAAAGCCCTTACCCTGGGAAAAGTGGGACCCTCGCCCTGTTGGAATGGTAAGGGCCATTCCCAGGAATGAGAAAAACACCTAGTAAAGGTGCAGCCAGGCTTTTGAATGAGGATTTGCAAAGCAAGACGGAGCAGAGGAGGTGCAGGGGGGTGGCACCACCCAAGGCAGCCAAGACTTCCGTGGGTTTTTCAGCTGCAAGCAGAGGTGGGAGGTAGAGGGGTGGGGGCTCCAGAGGGTCTGGGACAGTTAAATGTATCTGGCAGTAGGAGAAGCTCCCCCCTCTCTGCCTAGGCATTGACACTCGCTTCAAAGGCCAGTACCTCCACAGCCAGGAATACAAAGATGTGGAGGCTTTCCGGGGAAAGCGGGTCCTGGTGGTCGGCATCGGCAACACCGGCGGTGACGTCTCCGTGGAGCTGAGCCACGTGGCTGCCAAGGTACAGCTCTGCAGCGGTGCAGAGCTCAGCCAGGGGCCAGGGGAGCCAGGGGTTTAGGTTATCCCAATTTTTTAGTTTCTCAATTAAAAAGAAAAAAAAAAAAAAAAAGCTTTTTTTAAAAAGCTTTGCAATTCTTGGAGAGTTTGGGCCACCTGAGGAGTGCCCACTCAGCAGCTGTGGGAACTTTGTAGAAGCTGCCACAAGCTGTTTGACTGATCTGGATGCCATCTCCTTTCCCTCAGGATAACCCTCTCAGCTCCTGAGTGCTGAGATGAGATTTACCATTAAGAGCAAAACCAACAGCGAGATTCCTGGACAGGAGGCTGAGACCTGCCTTCTCTCCCAGGTGTTCCTCAGTGCCAGGAGCAACACGTGGGTGATCAGCCGGATCTCGAAGCACGGCCTCCCCTTCGACATGATCAGCACCACCCGCTTCAACCACTTTCTCGACTGGCTGCTCCCGTCAGCCCTAACAAGGAGGATCCGGTTTCGGAAGTTAAATTCATGGTTTAACCACGCAAACTATGGGTTGGCTTCCACCAAAAGGTGTTTTTTTCTGATTGTTTTGTTGGTTGGTCAGGGGCTCTTGATAACGTGAAATGCTCGATTTTTAATTTTGGGGTGTATTTGTGGAACAGCAAACCATTGGAGGGCAACTCTGACTACAAAAGCTGTTTCAGGTCCCGCCCAGGTACTAAACCTTCTTTTCCCTCTGCAAGCTCCAAATTTAAGATGATTATCAATGAAGAGCTGCCTTTCTGCCTCCTCTCCGGGACTGTTGTGTTGAAGCCAAGCGTGAAGGAGTTCACGGAAAGCTCCGTTGTTTTTGAAGACGGGACAGCAGAAGAAAACATTGACGTGGTGCTCTTTGCCACGGGCTACATCTTTCCATTTTCCTTCCTCGAAGAGTCAGTTCGCAGCCGCATTGACGATAACAGGTCCCTCTATAAATGCATCTTCCCTCCCCAGCTGGAAAAGCCGACGCTGGCCATCATCGGCTTGGTCCAGCTGACCGGCTCAATCATGGTGGGATCAGAAATGCAGGCTCGCTGGGTGACGGGGATCTTTGCAGGTAGGAAACAGGGGGTCTGCTGGGGTGGGAGGTTTGGGGCAGCCTGAGCTGCTGTCCACAGAGCCTGGGGCACATTTCAGCCCCCTGGGCATCAGTGGCGTTGTAGCCTCTGTCTGCCAACTGCATCCCTGTATCCCTGCTGCTCCAGCCATGCTGCTGTGACCAGCAGGCATGAGCACTCTGGGGAAGGGTGCTGGTAGCTTGGGGAGGGGGTGAACCTTTCAACTTGGAGTGGTGCTGAAGGTCTCTGGTTTCTCTGTTCTCAGGCCGGAACAAGCTCCCTCCTGCCAGCAGGATGATGGCTGATGTTTTGAAGAAGAAGCCTCCGGTCAAAAGGTGTGTGATGCTCCTGTGCCCCTGGTGTGATGGGTGCTGTGTGCCAGGATAACCCCAGGGAAAGGGGGGCTCTGTGGCAGTCATGGGAGTGACCTGCCTAGGACACACAACTCTTCTTGGTTGCATTTATTACCTCAGAATCTGTAGCAAGGTGGGGAAATGCTCTTGTGGCTCCTTTATGGGTAATGGACCAAGACACCATAAGCTGCTCTGAAGCAGTTTATGACAAGACCCAGGACCTGCAGGTCCCCTCTGCCAGGCCTCCAAGCCATGTCCTTATTCCTAGCATATTGAGATGGAGGTTTGGTTTCTTCCAGACTGAGGGTGCCATCTCGTGGCTTTTTCCTCCCAAATCCAGGCAGTGGAGAGCACTGGGATCAGGGCCAAGCCCCACCCAGAAACCCCACTGGAGCCGGGCAATGTGGGTGGGGGACAATTTGTGTCATTTTTTGACAGGTCAAGATGAATAATTGACGAGGCTGTTGTGTAAGTGGGAGCTAACATCCTGCCTTGTTGGCACTGGGATTTTACAGGAGGTTGAGACGTGCCCTCAAGGATGTGGGACGGGTGATGATGGAGGTGCTGCCTGCCTTGCAGCAGCTTTTGGGAGCGAGGAGAGGATCTCGGGGTGCAGGCTGGGTTGGGTCTGCCAGCAGGGCAGGGCTGGCTCATGGGACTGATGAAAAGCTGGGACAAAACAGAGCCGCAGGGATTACGACCGGGAGCCCCAGTGACTGCACCACAACGTCACACAGAAATATGGGAGCCTGAGCTACAAGGGAGACAACCTTCAGGGTGTCCCAAAATTGCTGAAGCAGATTCAGCACATGTCCTGCGAGGGATGTGAGGCCTCAAGCAGAAAAGTCCTGGAGGTGCCTTCCAGAGTGGGAATCTTTCTGCATCTCCTAGATTTTCCCAGTCTGCCTGGCATTCTTATCTCTGAAAATCTGCATCTCTGCTTCCCAAAATCAGCTCCGTGAACCTTAAGGAAGGACACAGCCTTGCAAAGTAAAGGCAGTATTCAGCTAGAATTGGTTTTGAGGCCAGAAGTAGAGACAAAAGAAGCTCCTTCCTATTCCCTGTCCCAGGTAACTGCTGGGACCAACCCCAGAGAGGCTCCTGCAGCACCTTGAGCTTTATTTGGGGCTGAGGGAGCTTGACCCCGTAGACTGGGGCTTGAATGCTGCCTGAGCCTGAAGCTTTGGCTTTCCGTGGAGCTGGGCACTGAGGCGGGATGATGCCATTTGATTTTTGTTTTTATGTCCCACTGAAGGAATCAATCCGAGAGGGAGAACCTGAAGATGAGTTTTATCGGCTACACGAATGAAATCGCTGCCTGTGCCGGGGTGAAGCCCAGCGTGCTGAGGCTGCTCCTGACAGACCCCCAGCTGGCCCTGGCCATCTTCTTCGGGCCCTGCACGCCCTACCAGTACCGGCTGGTGGGGCGGGGGGCGTGGAACGGGGCCAGGGATGCCATCCTGACGCAGTGGCAGCGCACGCTGCAGCCCTTGAGGACCCGCGTGGTGGATGAAGATTCTGACCGCTCGTCCAGCTGGTGCTGGATGTGCCTCCTGGCCCTGCCAGTGGCTCTCACAGCAGGTTGGCTCCTTTCTAAACGCCCCCAGATGGGCTGTAGGCCCTGGGCAGGTCCCTGGCTGTAGGAGAAACCTGGTGAGCCCCATTCCCCAAGGACTGGAGCGAAGCTGTGTCGCTGCTGGCACTGGTGGGAGCCTGGATGCCAGGAATGTCTGGTGTCCATCACCTCCTGCTGATGTTTCACACCCACCGAGGGCCATACGGAGCGCTCACCCCAAACCTGCTGTGCTCCACACCAGCACCAGGCTGGATCTCCAGAGGGCTTTTTGGAAGAGCCGCTTTGGGATGAACCGGTGGGCACAAGGCCAGCCTTCCTCCCTCCTCCAGCTCACCCAGAGATTCCTCCTTAAAATTTCAGGAAGACCCACAACACTTTTCTGAAACAGGAACTGTGGATAGCTTTTTATTTGTCTGGTAACTTTTGGGACACAAAGAAGGGAGCCACAAATAAACTTCACAGATTTAGATCTTCTCTAATGGTTTCATTAATCGATTATCAGCGGGCAGAAGGCAGAGCCTTCCCACGCACCCACGGGTGCCTCCATCAGGGGGTTTTGCTGCACACTTGCGCTCAGGCTGCAGCCACTTCCCCGGGGAAAGACGTCCCCTGCCTTCTGTCCCCCATCCCACCGCAATGGAGCTCCTGTGGGGTGCTGCTGGTCCTGCGTGTCGGGCTGGGGATGGGGTAGGGCACAGGGACCGGGATGGGGACCAGGAGGGGACAGAGATGGGGACCCAAAGGGGGACAGGTGTGGGGACCAGGATGGGAACTGGGATGGGAACCAGAAGGGAAGAGGGACCCAAAGGAGGACCGGGATGAGGTTGGGCATGGGGATGAGGACGGGGATGGCAATGGGGACTAGGATGAGGACGAGGCTGGGTCTGGGGACAGGGATGAGGACGGGGAGGGAGACCGGAACGGGGACAAGGATAGCGACTGGAAAGGGGATGGGACAAGGGATGGGGAGGGAGATGGAGATGGGGGCTCGGGACAGGGATGGAGACGGGAATGGGGACCCAAAAGGGGACCGGGATGAGGACCAGGATAAGAATGGGGATGGGGGCCCAAAAGGAACCCAAATGGGGACTCAAACCGGCCCCGCCCTCGGCCCCGCTCCGCCAGGGGGCGCCCCCGCCCCTCGCGCCCGCCCGACTGCGGCACGGCGCGGCCACGTGACCCGGCGGCGCGAGGGGCGGGGCCAGACGGTGCGCGCCGTGCGCGGTGACGTCAGACGTCGTTGGCGCCCGGCTTGGCCGCCCGCCATCTTGGCCCCTGTGTAGAAGCGGCCGAGGCGGCGGCGCCGGGAGCGGCAGCGGCCCCGCCGACACCGGCACCGGCACAGCCGAGCGCCGCGCTGCGCGCCCGGTAAGCGCCCACGCTCCTCCGCAGCCCCGCCGCGCGGCCGCGGGGCCTCGGCGAGGCACGGCACCGGCGGGAGCGGGCGGGCGGCCTGCGCCGCATGGCCCCGGGCGGGGGCGGCTTCCGCCGGGCGGGCCCGCGGGTGAGGGGCGGCCGCGGTGAGGGGCGCCCCGGGATCGCACTGCGGGCGGGCGGAGCGGGGCGGGCGACCGGGCCGGGGGGCGCTGGGCAGCCCCGCATGGGCGCCCGGGGCGGCTGCGCCCCACCGGGCACAGCCCGGGCCGCGCCCGGCAGGGGCGGCTGCGGTGGGGCCGCTCCCGCGGGGGGCCTGCTGCCTTTTCCCACCTCCTGCGCCCCCGTTTTTTTAACGGCTCCTGGTCTCCCTACCGCCCCATCTCTCTCTTTCCCTCTTTCTCTCCCTCTCCGGGCGGCCCTCGAGGAGCGCACCGGGCCCTCCGCGCTCCATCTGTGGCCGTGATTCCTCCTGCAGGACCGCGGGGCAGAGCGGCCCTTCCTCGCGGGGCGCTGGGGGCACACGCCTGGGTTTTCCCCCTCGGAAATACGCATCCACGGTTCTTTCCCTGCTCGCCCCCGGTGAAAGGCGGGTCCTGGGGGTGTTTGATGTCGGGCTGAGCGGAGCGGCGCTCGGGGCAGGCATTGTTTGTGCTCCCGGGGGCAGGATCTGTAGGGATGGTGAGAGCGTGGGGAAATGACACGGCTGATTCGGGCCGCTGGGCTGCAGTGGCCGTAACGCAGTGGGCGGTGGGAGCCGTCAGCGAGGGATGCAGCGATTGAACGTTTTGGGGCTAAAACTGGCCCAGACAGTTTCCAGTTCACGCCCTCTTTGTGGGGAAGGGGAGCGTGCATGAGAACGTGGTGCCGGGCGTTGAATGGAACGTGGTGGTTTTTCTGCCCCGTTTTGTGTCTTACACGTGTGTTTTGTACATGTGCTCTTGTGTGAGAGGTCTTGAACTCTGTATCACCGGTGAAGGACCATTTTTCCTCATTGCTCTGGTTAGTGGAGTCAGGTGTGTAGTTAGTGGAAATGAGCTTTATTTCCAAAGAAGGAACGAGGCTCTAATTTTTGATGGCTCTGCCTCCTCTGCAGTGAGGCACGAGGCCTTCCCAGTGTCCAGTCTTGAAGAGCTCTGCTCAGGCAAGAAACTGCTTTTGGAGGGGGAGGAAACAGGACATGATCTCATTTGTCTGGGGGTGAGAAGCAAAAGGTTTACCCTTAAACACTGACTGGAGCTGGATGTGGCTGTCGCTTTTCTTTGAATTATGTAGTCCGGGAAATTGTTCCGTGTTAATTTTTGTGGAGTTGTTGCAAGTCTGCAGCAGTCTCCTTGGATCTAAGGAGTAAGTTTTGGGAGTTGTTTGAACTTGATGAGTTCAGTGGAAAGGCAGTTGGGTGGAGGTGTGTGCTTGAGAGGTGGCTGTCTGCAGTGAAGTGAGAATTTGGTTCCCTCATAGGTCAGTCCCAGTGTGTGTGGAGACCAGGATCGTGATCTCTGTGTCTGACACCTAAAACTCTGCCTTGCTGTCTGTATATGTTTCATGTGTGAAGTTCTTTTCTTCTGTAAATAAGAGCCTATGAAATATCTGTAAATCAGTGTACAGTTGCTTCTGTGAGCCTTGCTAATATAAATATTCTGTGTCTTGGCCGGTTAGTAGCAATTTATAATTTCTTTACTCTCATTTAGCTTTTCCATAATGGGAACACTGGTTTTTTTTTGTAGAGCAGAATAGTTACATCAGTGCCCAGTTTTAACTTGGGCTCCTTGTTCAGGGGTAGATTTCCAGGACTCTTCCTTAGATCCTGTTTCCCCACATCCTGGAGTCCACTAGGGAAAGTGAAACAGGCCACAGTGAGCAAGGGGAGGATGATGCAATTCAGAAGGGAGCTCCCTTTGGTCTGTCCGAATGAATGTGGTGTGTCAGTTAAGGGAAGGAATGTGAGTCAAAGCAGCAATTACAGGAGATGGAGTTGACTTCAGCCAGGTGTCCTGCCTGGCTGGAAGGGCAAGCCCTTTGTTCCAGCCTGTTCTCCAGGCTAAGTAACGGGAGCGACGTGAAAGGGGAGAGAGGGTGGAAAGTGTAGCCTGAATACCATATAAGGGTGCTGTGGATAAAATGTGGAGATAAAAATCTTGCAGAAGAATTAAACCCTTGCAGAGGAGTAAACACTCCCGTGGTGGACTGGAGATGTGAGTGAAGGGAAAACACTCTTCTTCCTTACTCTGGAGAAGGAGTTGGACATTTTCAGAGGCACTTGCAGTAGTGGAGGGTTTTGAGGGGAAAAAAACTCCGCCCTGAAAATGCACCACCTTTCCACTAGTGAGGATGGATGTTGGGCTTGTAATGACGGGACTGCCAGTGGTGTTTTACTGGAAGAACCAGTTCATCTCCTGCAGGAAATTTTTTCTTTGCTCAGCCTCATGGCCTCATTGTTTTTTGGCGTTTGGGTTTCCCAAACCTGGTAGAAGCTTATGGGCTGAAAGCAGATGTAAAAATAAAGGCTGAAATTTGTGTGGGGAGGTGGGAGAAAATAATGCTGTGTGAGTACTGGTGGAATGAAAATGGAGTGCACAGGAGTCTTAAAAAATGCATAAAGAGCAGAGGAAGATGAAGTCCTAATAAAAATCAGATGAAGACAGCTTTTATGTCTATGAAGAACAGGCTAACAGAAATAGACTGTTTTTATTACAAATACCTCAGCCATTACATAACATTCTAAGTAAATGCTAACGAGCTAGGCTGTTACAGATTGCAAACACATACTGAAGGGAGAAGCTGTTTAACATTCACATTGTTCATGTTTTAAATTATCTGACACTGTCTTGATTAACAGTAAAATTATAGTGCGGATCCAACATTACATGTCCTCAATCTGAAGTGTGGTGGGGATAATTTGAACTGATGGTGTACTTGAAAATAACATGAGTTATGTTTTCAGGGGCTTAGAGCATCAGAGACAGGAACTACTGCTCTTTGCATTCAGGTGCATCAAATGCACAAGTACTGCTGAAGAACTGGCATCACTCAGGGCTGGGTAACTGAGGGAAGAGGGGTCATTAAATATGTATTTAAATCAGCTGATTCCTAAGTGAAATGGCAGCCTTGCTCGATTTTGGGTTAGTTGGGCTGTGACTTGTATTCCAGCAATGACTGGCCTGCCTGTTTTTTGCTGTACTGCTTGCTTAAGCTGGCAAATCAAACTTGCTCTGCATAGAAAAGCAGCCCTTTTCAGTCTGTCCTCCTGAAATCATGTGAACTATACCTTGGTTTAAAATCAATATTTTGTAAGCATATGACTGTTCCTAGGTTTTTATAGTTTGTGAATTTTTACTTGCAATTTAAGTCTACAGTTGTAATTTTAAAAGAATGTTTGCAGGAGTAAGGGTGTAAGTTATGCTTAAACTGTTTTGAATCTTCTTCTAAGGTGGAAGTGCAGGAACATCTTCATTTTGTTTGAGAAGCCAGTGATTTTCTCCCAGTTGAAGACTTGATATGCTACTTTAGGACTTAATATTTCTTCTGTTCCAGAGTAAACAGATAACCATGGAAGGACCTTGTGGGCTTAAAATATCAATACATCCATGCTTTCACTTTGGGGGGAAAAAAAAAATTAAAATTATTGTATTTACAGGACTTGTTTTATAGGAGTGTTTGGGGCAGTGTGTGCTTCCTGTACAAGATACCAGGTACAGGTGCACAGCAGGAGTCCTCTAATGATGGGGATCAATAAGATCT